TCTGGATCAGTTTTTCCAACTCCTCTTTGTCCTGTAGCATTTTGCTGGAAATATTTTTTCCGCCTTTGGTGCTTGGTTTCCCTTTCCTTGTCTGAATGGACATACTATCATTGGCAATATGAGTTTCTGTGACAAACTGAGCAAAGAAAAGGTAACTCTGGTCTTTTGCAAAACGACTATCTATTGAGAACAGACGTACATTGAAATACATACTTGGAGAAAGCGCAACACGGCGGGATTCATCTAACGTGTTTATTCCTGTGGGGAAATGTACAGGATATGCTTTGGCTTCAAGCCTTGGAACACTGAAGAAGGAGATGGGCTTGTTCCCCTGGGCCGGCGCAATGCTAAAAATGCCCTCTCCATAAGACAGTACTTCCTGTGCTATGTCAGGAGGCTGCATGCAAGTGTCCAAGATCAGACCAGGTCGAAGTGCCTGATGCTCTGCCCCTATGTGATCAGGTTGCTGGTCTGCTGCTGCATCCATTTCAGTCTCCTCTGCTTTCGTATCCAAGTCCTCATCTGGCTGGTCCTCTTGGAAATCCTCAAATGTGGCACCTTCATCTATACTTACGTCTTTGTAATCCGGATGACTCTCTTTAAGCTTTCTCAGTCCAGCTAAAACATTTTTCATGTTGACTGTGTAAAAGTATTGGTAACCTTTGTACCTTGTTTTCCTCTTCAGCTTTACCTGTAAAAGCTGGGCTTCCTCACGGGGCCTCGGAAGACTGTTTACAACAGTTTCCATGTCAGAAGGAACACAGACAACTGCTCCATGTATTGCCCTTTGCTGTCCCTTGGGCAAGGAAACAATTTTTGCAAAAGGTAGAATTTTTGCAATTAATTGTCTTTCAAGTACATTCAATTCCGCAAGCTCTGTCGGAACAGGAGCTAAATGAAGGTTATTGGCAGCAGCAATCGATGGCATCTTTCCCCTGCTTAGATGGCTGTCACACGTGTAGCAGATCCATTCCCCCATCCGCTCTTTGGGTACAGAACATGGGGTTGAGCAAGCAGATCCACACACGTGAACATATGTACCTGTTAGACAATCAGCTACTACATGCATATTCTTGGAATATTTATCCCTTTTACAGTGCTTCACTTGATTGGGAAAAAGAGCTCTGTGACACACGGTGCAAACATACGTAGGCGCATTTTGAATATTTTGACGAAATCTTTTTATGGCGGCTTTCATTTCTTCTGTCATCAGAGGCAGTGGAGTTTTGTGGTGGAAGCCTACATTTCTTTTGTACTTTCTTCTGATTCGCAAAGCATGCTGCAGTGTGAAATTTGTGGAAAGTGCCTGTTTTGATAGTCTACTTCTTCTATTGTCAGCACACTTTTTATTATGTTTGACCTGATAACCAAGCTCACTATGATACTTCTCCTTCATATATTCACGCATTGTATTTTTGTGTTGGCTTCTAAAGACTGGATTATCTCTGAACCGATTCCTGATGTATTCTTTGTGTCTGCTTCTAAAGAGAGGGTCATCTCTGAATCGATTCCTGATGTATTCTTTTTGTCTGCTTCTAAAGACAGGATCATCTCTGAATCGATTCCTGATGTATTCTTTTTGTCTGCTTCTAAAGACAGGATCATCTCTGAACCGATTCCTGATGTATGATTTTTGCCTGCTTCTAAATACAGGATCATTTCTGAACCGTTTCCTTATATATTCAGCCATGTTGGCTTTATGACTGGCTCTGAAGCTGTGGTCAAAGTTGAATCTGTACTTAACGTAATTTATTTGTCTCTTCCGGAAAGATGCATCTGTCCTGTATCTATTTTTTATCTGATCCTTCCTCTCTGCCTTTTTTAGAATGTATGTTTTTTTCAAGGCCTGCAGTTTTTTGGTCTTAAATGTTGCAGATGTTACATATCTGTCTTTTTCATATGCACTTTTCTTTATTTTTCTTTCTACATTCTGTCTCTGCTGCGTTTTAACCCTGTCCCTAATCTTTCTTCTCGTAGCTTTTGGTGCTTTTGACACATTTGGAACGGTTTGAACAGTCTCCTCTAATATGTTTGCAACTTCCCTAAGCCAAGGAGGAATTTCCTCATCAGAGGTGCTCTCTGGTTTGAAATCAGTTGGACTTACTTTGGTGCCTCCAGGTGGAATGTTCTGAAAGGCAGAATCCTGAGAAGAGCCGTCATTTTCCCTGACAAAACCTACTGGCACAAACTCATAGGTGGCATTGGGTCCGCGGTTATGAAACAACTTGTGGAGATGGGTGACCATGTCCGACAGATTACAGAAAGTCATCATCACTGCAGTACCACTGGGATGCGGCAGGCCTGCTGAATTTCTTGAATGGGAATCAAAAACTCCAAACCGACCGCTTCTGTCCCTGAAAACTGCAATGCACTCTGGAGTCACCAAGAGAAAAGCATGGGTGACATTTTCCAACAGACATTCCAGTTGCAGGGCAAGAGGCAAACCCAATTGTCGAGATCCTTGTGGGCTCCCGCTCCGAGCAAAAACATGACCTACTCTCAAACCAGTGGTGTGTACTGTATAGATGTTCCCATCTGTCAGTACATGGTCAGGCATCTCTTCAAAAGTCAAGTGATCGTCACGAAATGTTCCATCACTAATCAGTTGCTGTTTAACGCCGACATAAAGTTGGTCTCCTTTTTCAATCACTCTGTCAAGCAACACTGTGTCAAACTGCAGCCCCTCGTTGTGGTAAGCTAAAAATGTGAGTGCCATGCACGTGCACTGGTGATTCCGGGAAAATGCAGCATACCTCCTGTCGGCCTGGGAATGTGAAGCACTTACCAACAGGACCGGTGGACCGCTAATCCCGGGTTCCACCGCAGAAGCCTGTAACGTTAAAACAAATAACATTTCAATATTTATACAAATATTCAAATATTAATGACTGCCTACCACCACCAATTAGGCCTTTTGTAAACAAGTTTTTTTCAATTTAGAAATCAATTATTCTGATGATCAACAGATTAATTGAAATAAAATTTTAATAAAGTAACATATTGGAAAATACCGTCATTACAGCATTTCGGATCCGATTACAAAATAAATCCATATGTTCATATTTGTGCATCTCAAATTAACTTTTCTGTACTTTAGCAATTAATCAGTAACATTAGCTAAGTTTTTTAGCCAATCTGAAAAACAAAAACCCAAAATTTTGAAATTATATTAGATTTAATAAAAATAAAAAAAAGCACAAAAAATGAAGCATCACGCCCACAAAGTGAAAAACTTCAAAATATAATATTTTTATATATACAAACTCACTATTCACAACCATTTGTATCTTTTTTGCTCATGTGAGTGACAGGATCTTTTGCACCTTTGTCATACACAGAACCACGCATGCCAACTTTTTACACATGTTGCAATGTTCCACCCATTTGTTGTGACTGAGATGGTAGGAAGGAGTTACCTGGCAGCTCCCATCCCGGACCTGGTCCTCCAGTGGCACGGGAGAGGACTCGGCGGGGGCCTCGACGTCCATCGGGGGGACCGGTCTCCGTGCCTGGCGACGAGCTGGCCTGGTGGTCTCTCTCGGCGCTCCCTCCATCTATAAATCAACAGAAGCCCTCAACTTGGTGCAAAGTGCACTCATACATTTCATTATCTTAAAGTCTGTGATATATTTTCTGAAACAGTGTCATACCTGCTGCTCCACCGGACTCAGCTTGGAGGGATCAGAAACCGGACGACGCCTCGGACTCGTCTTCTGATAAAAAATAAATAAATAAATACATTTTTTAAAACCAATTGTGGCACATCAAAATCAAATAGTTATTTAAAAAAATAGAATAAAATACCTTCTTCCCCTTCGGAGAACATGTAGGTAGCGGAGCGTCACGGCCAGACGCAGGAACGATCCGGTCCATCTCCTCCAGCAACGCTGGGCTGAACCACACAGGATTCGGGGGGATGGAAGAGTCCAACAGGTCTCCCTGTAAAATAAAAGAAATAGCTTATAATAGATTCATTTGTACATTGAGGACACAAGTTTTGCTTTGAGGTGAAGAAAATCATACCTGTTGGTCAACCATCCTCCCAGTGGCGTGTGGACAGCCATCGCCACCCTGGACCCCGCGCGATGTCTGTAAACATGAAAAAAAAATTTCAGTGGCAATAAACCCTGTGGGACCAGGGTATATATTTATAGTCATTTTTAAGAAACTTTGATTTTATTTTTGAATTTCCTCAACAGAAATCATATTTATACTTATATTACATTTTCTCGAGCACAATCTTATCGGTATAAAACTGAACATTTTTTTCTTATGAATTATTGCAAATATATGAGTTACATCAAATTCAAGTTGGAAAAATATTTATTTTTTTCACTCACAAACTCACAAAGGTTTTCTACCTTAACTCCTGGAGTTCACCATGGCTTGAAGGTGCTTACTAGCTGCTGGAGGAGTGGCTCTACCATGGTGATCGACTCCTTACAGCTGCACAGCGCCGCTTGGATCTCTGAGTAGCTGCCTCTGACCCTACCATAACCTCATCTTACCCTTTATGCCTCCGATTCTCTAAATTTCTAATAAAAATCCCATCATTGTCATCTCAATCTCCACTGTGCCTCAGATTCTGGCTGCAAGTTTCCCTCTTTGTCTTCCAGTTAAAAAATTGCAAACCTACCTGCTGTGCATTTATTAGCTACATAATTCTTTACATACAATGAATAGCTTGTGAGCGTGTTTACTCCAAATTTTTCTGGACTTGTTTATACATTAATTTATATAAGTGCACTCTTATTTATTTGTTTATTTATTTTATATGTAGTCAATGTTTTAAACTACTCACAATTTCAGTTTCCTATACGTTTCCATGAATGTCATATTGCTTATGGTTTAATTTGTATTAACTAATATTTACACCTTGGACGAACTACCTTTTCAGCAAATAAGCGATTTTCCCTTGGGCATCAGTGAAGCATATTCTATTCTAAAAACAACGTCTTAATTATGAAGTGTGTGTGACAGATTTCTGTCACACCAATCAATATTACTATCTCACTGTTTTTGCCATTACTCTGGTCCCGTTTGTAATAGTTGCTCTTTTCGTCGTTACTTGGACAACTTTCCCCAGTTTCTTAAAATACACATAATTATTGTTTCAAGATGTGAGATTTCACATAACAGAGGGACCTCATGTAGCACTTTATATTTTATGCTTGTAAGCTAATTCCCTTTCACATTCTCAACATAGATGGTTTTTAACATTTACATGATCTTCTGAGAAAAGATAACTTAATTAGTTTAGCATAACTCCAGTTTTTCTTCTGCTCAACACAACAAAAAAGCCTGGTATGTAGTTTATAATCAGCACTTTAAACAAAAGTTGAAATGAACACTTAGGGAGGTGGACACAAAACAGACATGTTAAAAAGACAAATATACACATTCATGGAGTTTTAAAGAGTTAAACATCCAAAAACATTACTTAAATCAACTAAGTATGTATCCAGTACCTTCCGGCCACCAACCACAGTCCAGTCGAAGGGGTCCGAACGACGCGGAGCAGCCACCTCGCCAACCACAACCAGCCGGGGCAGGGGACGTCTCGCCGCGGGGGGGGAAGCCGTCCCAGGAGGGGGAGGAGCCAACGTCACGGGAGCTGGAGATTCCGGTGCACTTAACTCAAGTTGCGAGCAGACCGCCGCCTGAAGCAACTGAGAAAGGACCGTCATCCCAGGATGGTCGCTCAGGTGAACCTATAACAGTTGTAGAACACATTTTATAAAATACAGCACACCTAAATAACATTTTTACAGTGACAAAATCTATTTAACTTACGCCATCCCTGCTCCACAAGTGCAGGCTGCTCAACGGGAAATGTTCAGTAACAGGCAGGTACCGAACATCTAGACAGAAAAAGAACAAAATGTCATTCTTAATGTCAGTCACATTAACAATGTAGTAATTTGAGATAAAGTAGACATGAAAGAAAAAATAAGTCAGTTTTTCACATATCTGTGTATCAAAATCAACTTTAACAGGAGTGAACTCAAAACACATCTACGTTTTAATATTCTAGTTTCAGTATTGATAACCATGCAGCACAAAATGTCATATCCGCCTGACCATTCCAAATAATATATAAAAACTTAAAAAAAGAAATTGGGATTGCAATAGTCCCATACAATGTTAGTTTGCTGAAGTTTTACTATAAACACAAATTGAGTCAGTCACTTACTTCTCTGAGCAGCCACACGGCGATACTCCTGCCGCAGCAGCTGTTGCACACTTTCCTCCACGACAAGGCGTGGTGGAAAGTCCACAACGACCACCTGTAAATTTCAATCCAAATAAAAGAACCAAATTAACATACAACAAGTTTTCAGATGTATTTGATCATGAATAAATGGAGTGGATATTATACTTACATTAGCAGAGAGTTCGCAGACAGAACGCAACAACCTGGCAAAGTCCCGTCCGGCCTCCACGAAGGTCCTGCTGGCGGTCAAGTTGTTGCTTGGAGCCAGAAGACAGATCACCTCGGGGGGCCGAGGCAGAAGTGTATTCTGGACTTCAAGCCGCAGCTCTTCCGCAGAGGCTCCAGGGGATGCAAGCAACCCTAAGGAGAAGTCGCCCTTTGGCATGGTAGAATACCCATCCACAATAGCACGCAGATGAGAATCACCAACCAAAAGAGCAAACTGAAAAATAACAGCAAACATTAAAGTTTATAATTGATTTTATCATCCAAACCAAAATTTGTGCATAAGATTGACAAAAAAGTACCTTCTTCTCCAGAGCCTCGGCAGTAGGCAGAACCAACTTGCAGCTACGTCTGGTCACCCGGGAAGCTGGCCACGTCTCCACCCGATGGCGGCGCCCCGTCCCACGGCCTGTTTAGAGATGTGCAATTATCAAGATTATGCTTTCATGCCTCTGAAAATTTAACAACAAAACAACACAAATTTTATCTACATACGTGACCCAGGAGAGGTCGATGGCGCACGGGGCTCCTCCTGGCGCACGACGGCAGGCAACATCTACAAAACAATTTTTTTTAATGATTAGATTAACCACAAAGATAACTGGATTAGGTTATTGTAAATAAATGATCCTGAACTTGTCATGAATTTACCTGGTCGGGCGGGCCACCCTCCAGCAGTCGCGACGTCTAAAGACATAAATGGAATGAGTAAAGCAAATGACTTATCCAACAATAAGTTAGTAAAATGTAAAATGACAGCTATACCTTCTTCGGCGGAGACTGAGTGGGGCTCCAAGCCCGGGACGTGAGCGGTGGTGTCCCTGGCTGTAAACACAGAAACAATTATAATCATTCTTAAAGTCAAAAGTACATGAAGAACTACTGTAGGAAAAAAACAATTACTGCAATGTATAATTTATATACCTTGGCGACGTCCGGCACACTCTCCAGCTTCCTCCATCGCACCTTCGCCGCCTCCGAGCGTCGTCCTCTGCGTGGCATCCTGTAAAACCACAGTAAAAAAGAAGACAACTGGGGGGGACAGGTGGTTATTTACAAATAAAAATCAAATAAAGTAACGTATATAAAATTAAACAGTGTTTGGAGCACTAGATCTATGTGTGTTAGTGAATGTTAAAATGTGATGAAACTTATATGAATATGTATCGATGGATTAATAAAATGCCGTAGTCAGTAAAGATGAGCTTCGCAGCAAGTAGCAGTGGAAAACCTCCAAATCGCACAGTCTCGCACAAGGGAAAAGCTGTAATGGGAAGAAAAATACATTTCAATTTAAAAAGGCTTATACAAATAACTAAAAAGACACATAACATTTTTTTCTTCAATACAATGATGAAGTTCAAATTCTTCTGACTTGCTACTTCTAAATCCAGTATTAGAATAAATTTAGTTTAATGAAGCTATCATCTACATACCACATAAGTGCGCTCAGCCTACGCACCTATGGTAATGTGCGTCAAAAACACCCGAAAGGCTTCGACAGCGTATGGTTAGCTTGGCGAAGCACGTCATGACGCGAAACACGTCATGACGCTCATCTACATAAACTTTCAATGTAAACCGCCCTAAACGCTCAAATCGGATCGGTGTGAACTCGCATTAGTATGAAGTCATATGGATCTGCCCACTGCTGTGCTTCTAACACAGAAAAAAATAAAAACCGCACCCTCCCAAGTGGAAAAATATCTCACACAATGCCAGTGCATGACTATATATCACATATAAAGATACGAACGAAATTACATAATTAAAAACACCACGGTACTTTATTCTTTAGCGTCTTGTGGGCCTACAAACATTTACCTTCCCGCCCATTAAGCTAGCAAGTACGCTATCAGAGCCACAACGAAATATTCCACAACAATGAAACTTTTAAAATCGACCGACTTTCTAAAACACATTAAATCCAACAACTGTAAGCAGTTACAATAATATTCTAATCAAATTAAAAATTAAAATACTATATTTTATGGAGAAAGCACAAACGCATCTTACCTTGACCGACGCAGACTCGGAAGCAGAGAGTTCCAGAAAGTTCCAGAAGCTTCAGCGGCTTGGGAATTCGTGTCAGCCAATCAGAGATTGTCATTTTTCACTGTGTATGACGTGTCCTTCAGCTGACCAGTCAGCTTAGTAAAACAACAATTTTAAAAAATGCAACAAAAAAGCGTTTTTTAAACATAAGGAGCCTGTCAACACAGCTGGCTGGCAGTTTTAGCACCTTACGTCACAGACTTAGATACAAGATGTTACGTGTCAACCAATCAGAGATTGACATTTTCCAACGAGTATGACTTACTGGTCTGCTGACCCATAGACATAATATAAGGATAGACGCCTCATGTACCGCTCTCGCCTATTGTCGCTGACGAGATTTAGGGCGGCCAT